ACATTTACTTTCTCTAATTATTCTAAAGCCCTGTCAGTCTCCTTGTGATTCCTTAGTTCTTGGTGGCCTCACTCGCTCTGTCTTAATGTCTCTGTGCCCAGAATTACATCTTGCTTCACAGCCCTTATCTTAGAGTCCTTTTTCTTTATCATCCTTGTCTGGGAATGTCCCCTTGCCCATAGTCTGGGGTGTTTGATTAGTCTCCTTTGGGATTTGTTGCCCTTATCTCTGGAACCTTCCTAATTCCTCAGAGGCTTTTTCCTCATCTATTCTGACTCTAGAAGCTATTTGCTTGCCTGCCAGATGACTCACTATTACCTTGTCCTGCTTTTTTTTTGTCATTCTACCTGTTATCCTTTTCCTTTTAAAAAATAACTCTTATACACCACTAAGCACTGTGTATTTTACTTTTTTTTTATTTTCTATTTTGTTTCCTTTCTTTAAAATACAGTCTCCACAAGGGAAGGAATTTTTGTCTGTTTTGTTATATAGGAAATGCATGGCCCATAGTTTGAAACATTTGTTGAAGGAAATAATAAAATGAGAAAAATAATTTGTTATATCACGTGACTGTTAAGTCTGAAACTCTGATGGGACTGAGAATAACCTACAGAGAAAGAGAGACTACTCACTAAGCAAATCTACCTCTGGAGGAGAGGGGTAAAGTGTCTAGGTTTATTGCCTTAGAATATAAGTAAGTATGAGTAAAAATTATAAAGTCATGTAAGAAATATAAGTAAAACAGAATGTAAGTGAAAGTCTTCAGGGAAGGGAAGGAATGAGCTTTATTTCACTAAAGCTCATTGGCAGTCACTGTCTTTAGGGGAGACATTAGCTTTCAACTATCTAGAATGCAAATTCCCTTGGGATATCTCTTGCTTAGGAAGGCTCTGTCCATGCAGCAGTGTGAGACATCCAGAATTACCCAGCAGTAATTAAAATTACTGCAGTAATTCTGACATCAGCTACAATTGTTTATATATAAACTCTTCTGAACAGAGGCATGATTAGTTCTAGGGACAAAATCAGTTTTCTTCATTTTCTCTGCTCATCTCTTGGCTCCTCTTTTCTTTGGATTGGCTCACCATCAAGTAGGTACTTATAGTCTTTCAGTTTAGAAACTACGGGTGAATGAGAACTTCCTGGTTAGTTCCTATAAAAAATTAGTTCAGGTCTGTCACATATCCCTTCCCGAGCTACTGGTTGATGAAAGGAATATGCTGATTGTCTGGCTGGGTCGTGCACCTATAGCAGGAACGTTGTGCTTATTCCAGGAAGTGGAGTGTGGAATTGATCAGTGCTACACAAACTGTATGGATTGAGAGCAAGAAAGGGTAGTTTAATGGAAGAAAATTAGGATTCTGCTACCAAAAGAGGGAGTAAACACACAACACAGGTCTATTACTTGCATATATATATATATATATATATATATATATATATATGCAATTCAGTTCATTAAAAAAAAGATTCTTCAAGTCTCATTGCATATAGGCATTCCCGCTTCATCTATTTTTTAATGTAACATGACATCAAGAAGAAGAAATTTTCTTTGAAAATTTGATTTTAAAATAGATGTAAAATTGTATTTAAATTGATTACTTAATTTTAGATTTTTTAAAATTAGAATTAGATTTTGGCTTATCAGAATTGGGATATTCTTTATAAGAGAAGTGGGAGGAATAGAGGTGGGAAAGAGAATCCAGTCAGATCTAGGGTGACACCAGAGAAATGCCTCAGACATAAAAGTTGAGATAGTACTCACTGAAGGGTCATGCAATTGCAAGGTGGCACTTGCACCAAGCGGATAGTGAATGTCTATACTTTGTGCCCTCTTAAGGCATCTTGTCTTCCCTTCATCTTTTTCATGAGGAGAAGCACAACAGTATGAGCCTGTGTAGATGGGGAATTTGTTAGTGAAGATTAGATGTGTTAAAAAGTAATTATACATATTCAGCTTGTATATGGAAACCATTGCTGAGTTCTAATAAGAATAATACTTTTTTTTCCCCTTTAATATTTAGTTTTGGAATTTTTTTTAAAATTTATTTTATATAATTCTTACATCTTTTTTTATTTTTGCACAATGTATGCATTTTCATTTTATTTATATCCCCATACAATTGCATCCCCCCCTTATTTTGACCCTAGTCCTTCTTCTCCCCACCCCTCCCCGCCCCGTAGTGTGTCTCTGGTTTACAGTTGCTTTTTTTTTTTTTTTTTAAAGATTTATTTTTATTTATTTATACAAGCACTGGGTACAGTCAGAATCGCGGGAGGGTGAGAGAATTCACCAGAGCCAGAGCGGGGAGCAGAGCAGGCAGAAGGACCGAAGTACACTGCTGAGGGGAGCAGCGGGCAGCAGGAGAGGTCTGCACGCCATGTGGGACCCTCCTCTGGTGGCCGGGGAGCAGCCGGGGATCGAACCCGCGCTGCAGAGGCCGCGGGCAGCTTCTCAACCCAGCGCTCAACCGCTGCGCCACCGGGGAAGCCCTACAGTTGCTTGTTGATCTTGATTTTTACTTTGTATTCATTAGTCTTTTTCCTGGTCCCTTGTTTATGTTTTCTAGAAAGAAAAAGAAAAATACCAGGTGGTCTCACTCATAGCAAGAATAATACTTTTGAAGTAATATAAGAAATAGAACTGTTATTCATAGGCTTAGTGTAATTTGACCAAAGTAATATACCCTTTACAGGTGCTACCAAAAGTTGTTACTTATTTTGAACCCTAATTTTTATAATATCAAGTAGAAAAATATTTCTTTTCATTGAAAAGTAAAGTATAGGAAATACTTGAATTGCAGAATCAGACATAAGTAGTACGAGTGCTTTGACTGGCTTCCTTGTGTAAGACACTCGACAGTGCTCAGTGTTGGTCTTGGAGTCACAATTGAGTACTTGTCTTTCTTGTTCTTAGATCTTTGAACATAACTGTTTCTGTATCAGGGTGAGATAATACAATATTCAATTCGTGATTTCTTGCAACTTTCTTTACTGATAGAGAAGCTAAAAAAATTTCAAATCAAATGGATTGTTCAGTAATTTTTAGCTTTGTTTTGGGAGTGGAATTAGTAGATAAGATAGCGCCTCCCTGGTGGCCTATGGGTCAAGTCTCAGGGTTCTCACCACTACAGACTGAATTTGATCCCCGGCCAGGGAGCTGACCCACCTAGGGCACAGCAGACCTCTGTCTTGCCTGCTGCTCCCCTCACCAGTGGATTTCAGTAGATCCCCCTGTTCTGCACTCTACTTTGTCTTTAGTGAGTACTCTCACACAACCCCTGGCACCCCAGTTCTATGCATAAACAAATAATCTTTAAAAAAATTAGATAAGCTATATATTCATTTAGGTAGACATTATATTTTGTTTCTTGGAAATCTTTATAAGTAATACTATTTACTATATGTTAGGGGTTGAATTGAAGATACTCTATTAAAAGCACTATGAAAGAAATTATAACAACAGTTTTCATATTTAAATATCACTTTGTTATAACTTATATCATTTAATATAACAATGCTTGTCAAACCTTGTTTTATACCAGTGTACAAATTAGAAAACATTGTATTCACCTTGGAATTTCATTCATTCAGTTACATTTTGTTTAGTGGCTAGAATGTTCCAGGTATTTTGCAGGATGCTGGCTATTCAGGTTTTCTCTGAATAGGCTTTGTGCTACCTAATTGTTCCTGAATGTGGACTAATGTCAGTGTGCTGAGCACATGTAAGGTAGCAAGGCTGTGATGCTCAGTAGGTGTATTAAAAGCGTTTTTGACTTTTCCCACTATCTGAAAATAGATCATTCCTATTTGGTGTGACTTGGTAGGTTATCATTTGGGTCTTGGAATGCTCAAGAATTTGTCCATATAACTTAAGGGTAAAAGGCTTCCCAGATCCAAACAAATAATCTACAGAATCATTCCAAATAGAAATGTTCTGTTTTGGATAGAGGTCAAACTTGTATTAAGATAATAATCTCTTTCTTCAATTATGTCATAGTCTATTGGATGACGAGGAATGTAATTACATTTTAATTGTATGTGAAAAGAAAAACCCATGGAAGAGTTATGCTTTGACATACTACAGCATGTTAGAAAAGAAAGTATGTGTTTGCCAGATTTCTTTCCAAACCTTCCCAGCCTTTAACAAATGTTATATTTAAACAAGTGTAGTCACTTCTTTTCATGCCCTTCAAACTTGAAATTAATTGAAGCTGTGAAAATGGAGAGCATGAATTACCTCTTCAAAAATAAGGCAATAGGTAAAATAGGTTCTAATTGGAGAAGTTGTGAAAAGAAAGGGTCAAGAAAGTAAGCAGGGGATAGCGAGTTAGGTAAGTCCAGAGGGTTCCCAATTTACAATGGTTCAGTTTATAGTATTTCGACTTTATGATGTTGTGAAGATGATATGCTTTCAGTAGACATTGTATATCAAAGTTTGAATTTTGATACTTTTCCAGGCTAGCCGTATGCAGTATATGCTACTCTCTGGTGGTGCTGGGCATTGTCAGTGAGCTGCAGCTTCCAGGCAACCAGGCTGTCACAAGGATAAACAACTGATACTCTGCAGTGTACTGTGTTGCCAGCAGTTTTTTTGGATATTGTGTTTGTTTATTGCATTTTATCGTGTGCAAATAAAATCTGTGTCTGAGATAGTCAGCACTGTTTTATTGAATAAAAAGGCCTTGTGCTAAGTAATTGTTACTGACTGTGGACTAATGTCAGTGTGCTGAGCACATGTAAGGTAGAGAGGCTGTGATGCTCAGTAGGTGTATTAAAAGCATTTTTGACTAGATATTTTTTAACTTATGTTGGGTTTATCTTAACATAACCCTAAGGTAAGTAGAGGGAGACGGGTATGCCATTCTTATTTTCAAATGTGGTAAATTTGATAAACTGTTGCAGTTAATTTCCATTAGTAGTCAACTCTACTCCATATATTTATTTTTGTCTTTTACTCTGTTGGGAACAGTTCTGACACCTGAAATTTCTTCTTACAGCTCTTACTTTCAGGCTAGACCTATGATCATTACCCTGAGTGTTCACTGCACATTTTCTAAAGTGTCTTCCTCGCTTCTAATGTGTAGTCCTTCAAGATGGACCTGCTACTTTAGCTAAGATATGACCAGCAATGAATAGTGGTAAGGTAGGATCACTTCACTTCTTAGTAAACTACTAAAAAAAAAAATGTTTTTTCCTGTGAAACAGTTTTGACTTGTCTTGATTTTGTAGTGTACTTTATGTTAGATCATTCTCTCACTAAGCAGGCTGCAGTTATTTTATATTTGTATTATTTCGTTTTGCTTTTCATTTGTAGTACTGGATGCTATCTCATTTGTGATGTAATTACTTACTCCAGCTAACATACTCAGTAGAATCCCAATTTTTGTCAACTTTTGAGCCCACTGTCCTATATTTTCAACTGCTTGTCATCAAACTCAACTTATCTTATTTTTCTACTTAACTTGCTCTTCTTTCTGCTTCCTGTATTTCTATTAATTGCATTATTAGTCCATTTGTCTAATATAGTCATATATTGATTTATTGCTTCATTTATTTATTTGATACACATTGATATATTTCTATTAAGTGTCAGAAAATTAGCTGTTTCTGGGGAGTATAATGATGAATATTCTGCATGTCCCATCCTTGCTTATATGTGAGGGGGGGAGTCCAGGTTAAAAATAAAATGACAGCATAATTATGAATTGTAATAAATTTTTTGAAGCAAAGCAAAACAGATAATTTGGAGATAAGGAAGCGAGAGCTATTTTAGATAGGTTAGTCACAGAAGATTTCTCTGAGTAGTTGATAGTTAAGGTGCAACCTGTATGTGAGAAGGAGCTATTTTGGGAGTGGGTGGGGTGTGTGTTTGTATGTGTGTGCGTTATCCTAATTAGAAGGGATATTAGAGTGAAGTAAGTCTGACGTAGATAGACAAAGGCTGTTATGTTCTTATTTATGTGTGAAATCTTGAAAGTTAACTCAGAAAAAGAGTATGGGAAATGTTGGTCAAAGGATGGAAACTCCCATTTATAAGCTAATCAAGACTTGGGGATCTAATGGGCAGCAAGGTGATTATAATTAGCAAAAATGTGTTACATTCTTGAAAGTTTTTAAGAGAGTGGGTCTTAAATATTATCACCACACACGTACACACACGCACACAGATGTAATTATGTGAAAGGATGAAGATGTTAACTCATCTATTGTGTTAATTATTTTATAATATAGACATGTCTCCAGTATAACACTGTTCACTTTAAAGTGACTTATTTTATATGTCAAATTTAATAATATCTCAGTGAAACTTGGGGAGGGTGTAAGAGAAACAGTAAAAAAAAAGAAGTAATGGGCATGAAGACTTTGAAAGAGGAAAGATCTTGGAAGTTTGAAGAATAGAAAAAGCGCTAGTGCGGTTTACTTAGAAAGGCAGATATTAGTAGAAATTGGCTATAGACATATCAGGGCTTTGAAGGATTTGGCAAGGATTTTGTTAAAATGATGTCTTCATTTTTTTGCTGCTGCATAAGCAATGGGCTGACCTGGGTGAAACTGAAAGCTGGTGGTTTTAGTTGGTCAGGATAGAGATGGTGGTGGACTGATAAAGTGCTGACAATATGAGAGAGTTGAATGGATTTAAGCTGCATTTTTTGTGTGTCAGAATTTCTGGGACTTGTGCATAGTTTGGCTGTCAAATAGAGACATACTAAGAATGATTCGACGATGTCTGGATTTTGAGTAACTGGATGGATACTGTCATCCAGTACACATACCTTTTAGAAAAATTTCTCATCTGAATGATTGGTTATTTAATTAAAAAGGAATTTAAATATTAATGTTAAAAATAATGTTAGGGGACCTCCCTGGTGGTGCAGCAGGTTGAGTGCAGCACTGTGAAGCTGTCCGCAGCCTCTGCAGTGCGGATTCGATTCCTGGCCAGCCAGGGAGATTCCCACATGGTGTGGCAGACCTCTCCTGTCATGCCTGCTGCTCCCCTCAGCAGTGTATTTCGGTTGTCTGTCTGTCCTGCTCCCCGCTCTGTCTCTGGTGAATCCTCTCACCCTCCTGCGCCTCTGGCCTATACCCCAGCTCTTGTATAAAAATAAATCTTAAAAAAAAAAAAATAGTGCTGGAAATAATATCATCTGAAAAAAATTTAATATGTACTTTTTACTTTGAAATTTAATTAATTGTGACATTTAATTATGCATTTGTTTCATTTGACTTTAGAATCTGCAAGTAAAATGACTGACTAAACTTTCATGCTGTGTATTAATAAACCTTTTCATCTATGCTTTGTTTTATTATTTATTTATTTATTTATTTATTTATTCTTTTTTTAAGATATAAGAGCTGGGGTACAGGCCAGAGGTTGTGGGGGGGAGATGATTCATCAGAGACAGAGTGGGGAACAGAACAGGCAGATTGACTGAAGTACCCTGCTGATGTGAGCAATGGGCGAGTCAGGAGAAATCTGCTGCTTCATGTGGGTTGCTCCCTGTCCCACTGGGGATCAAACTTGTGCTACAGAGGCTGCGGACAGCTTCATAGGTTGTATCTTAACCCCTTGTGCCACCAGGGAAGCCCTATGCTTTGTTTTTAAATGAGATAAAGTTAAAATTTTAAACCAGTTGAAATCTTTTCTGTTTATTATCCAAAGTTCTGATAGATTATTTTATTGCTATTTCATCTTACAGATCTAGATCATCCTACCATTAGATGTATATCATACTAAAATTCATTTATTATATTTTGGCTTTTTTGATTTTTATCAGAGCATGTTATATTTACCCTCCTAGGATTGATAGTTTAGGTGCAAACTGAAATTAAATAGCCATAAAAATAAATTTTTCAAATTCTATTTTTTTCATTTCTTCTGAGCTAATTAGTGGTAATATCTTTCTGTTGTTGAAGAATTACGATGTCTTCTTAAAAGAGGTTAATATTGTTTATGTTCACTGTGTTAGGAATTAGGTTAGCTCTTTGAAATATTTTATTTTAAACTCCATTTTTACTACCACTTACAACAGCTCTAAACGTTTCCCACTTTGTGTATGATTATCTTTTAAGTTTTAGAGCTGAGAAATAATAGAGTAGAGGGATTTATACAGTTGGAAGACACCTCAGACATTATCCATTTCCTCCTATTTCAACTGGTACTCAGAAAGTTTCTGCGACCTGACCAACAGCACCGCATTTACTGAGACTAATGTTGATTTTACTGTTTATACTTCAGTCAAACTTGCCTCCTCTCATGCCGTCTATCTTCTTTCTCCTTCAATATTTTATCTTAAAAATGCTCAGTGTTGCAGAAATATAGGTAATAATTGACAATGAACATTCATATTACTTTTCATTTGTGTTTATTCATTATTACCATTTTGTCACATTTTCTCCTTTTATATATTTGTGTATCTTCAAAAAACATGAGCTACACTGAAGAGATAAATTTATAATGTAATATAATTTTTTAGAATGCATATCATAAACCTGTGGATAATTTGCTCATGAATATAATATCAATACACATATAGGAAAACTAACATTAATTTAAGAGTGTGTGTAATAAATAATCCATTTTCAGATCTCCCCAGTTGTGTGTGTGTGTGTGTTTTAATTTTTTGGATCTAGGAGTCAATCAGGATTCATACATGGCATTTGATTCTTGTGTCTCTTTATTTTCTTTTAATCTTTAACTCTTCACCCGCCTCTTTTTTTTTCATTATTTGTATTTTATTTTGAGGTATTTTATTTTATTATGAGAAGGATACTTAGTATCCCTCTCAGGAATTGCCTATTTCTTACTTTATTAATTGTAGTTTGCTTTTTTTCCCTTTCAGTTCTCTGAGATTGCTGGAATAAAGTTGTTTATCTAAACTTTAAACAGAAAACATCATTTCGACTTTAAGTATACATTGACTGAGGATTTTGTATTTGGTGCATTAAGTTAAAGATAAGGAAACTGAGAGATTTATGTTGAATTTGATTCACTGTACTAATAAGCTATTGAAATTCATTTAAAACAACAGACGTAGGGGCCTCCCTGGTGCGCAGGTGGTTGAGCGCTGCACTGTGAAGCTGTCCGCAGCCTTTGCAGCGTGTGTTCGATCCCAGTTGGCCGGCGAGAATCCCACATGGCGCAGCAGACCGCTCCTGTCTCTCCTGCTACTCCCCTCAGCAATGTATTTTGTCAGTCTACCTGTTCTATTCCCTGCTCTGTCCCTGGTGAATCCTCTCACCCTCCCGTGCATCTGGCCTGTACCCCAGTTCTTGTATAAATAAATCAATATTTAAAAAAAAAAAACAGACGTAGCAAGAGTTCCTCACCTACCCATCATTACCTATCCCTACTTTCTAATCAGTTAATTACATCTAGGAATATGTACCTAGTCACTGCAGATGTTAAACAAGAGTAGTCTAAGTTTGTGTTTTTGAAAAATGCATAGTTTCAAGTGGGAAGTAGATTAAAATGCAGATAATATATAAGCATGTTTAGATAACCAAAGCCAGATACAATGAGAAAAGACTTAAATACCTGCTCTCTCTGGAGCTTGTTTATATCTGGCATTTGGTGAGTGTTCCCTTTCTGTTTTTGACTTTCCCAGCTTTGATTGGTGTTCTGTAGGAATTATATGCTATGTAGAAACAAGTGGGGGAGGAAGCAGGATGTAACTTTGAAACAATATTTTCTTTTTAAATCCACATACTTTTTATATTTTTTTAAATTTTAATCTATTTTTTTATTTTTAATTGAGGTAATATTAGGATACACACCCATCAGGTGTGAAACAATATTTTCAAAGTGAGAGGAGGCATATTTTGTGTGACAGTAGAGGAAGAAAGTGTCAACAAGGAAGGGAATGCTCTAGATGGGTTAGGATCTTTTCCTGTCTTTTCTCCAGTCAATCTTATATGATACTCCTAAATATTATATATTATATAAATGCACATATTGTATTATATGTGCTTTTATACTTTGTACAGGAATTTTTAAAAAAAGATTTGTATATTTATACAAGCACTGGGGTACAGGCCAGAGGTGTGGGAGAGCGAGAGAATTCACCACAGACAGAACGGGGAACAGAACAGGCAGAATGACCAAAACACACTGCTGAGGGGAGCAGTAGGCGAGACAGGAGAGGT